AGGTTAACATATTAGCAGCAATGCTTATACAGTCAGGGCCAGATTTCTCACAAGACCACCGAGGCCCGACCTCGGGGCGGCAGGGAGCAGAGGGGCGGCAGGGGTGTGGAATCCCCAATGCATAGTGGTTTTCTACATTCAGCCCTGCTTTGGGCAAGCAGTGCTAAATGTAGAGCGGAGAAGCTGCTCGTTCATTTACAAGTGATCTCGGTGATGTCCCCAAGATCACTTGTAATGAGACTGCAGGTAAAATAATGAAATAAAAAATTATTAAAAATAAAACAATAATACATGATAATTTAAATAAAAATGTAAACAAGTAAAAAAATAAATAAACATTAAAGACATAAGAAAGTGATAAAGTAAAAAAAAAAAAAATTTTTGGGGGGGGGTTGCTGGTGATTGGTGGGTAGGGGGTCACATTGAGGAACCTGGCCTTGGGGCAGCAGAGAGTAAATCCGGCCCTGTATACAGTGATCCTCTGGTTTCTGGCATAGACCATGTGACCAATGCCTCTCCGAGCAGCACGTGCACTTTACTATATCAGGACATTTTCTGCAGCCAAGGCTGTGACAATAATGGAAGTATTCATGAAAATGAACCTACTTACTATATGAACACCCGTAGACTTCCACTCTCATCCCGATTCTCCCGTTGGTATTCCACTCTAGCGGCACAAATCTGAGGAATCTGGCTTTTATAGAATTGGGAAATCTGTGGTTCACCACACCGTCCGCATTCGTGTTCCCTGAAAAGACCTGTTGATACAATGTGATAAGAGTAAAAAAAAACATCTTCAAGTATTGCTGTTCATCAAGAAACAAAGTATTTAAGCGTCACTAAAGTCATAAAAAATTTTAATGTTTGGACTAAGTTGACCAGTATGGACTAATTTGGCCAGTGTGGACTAAGTTGACCAGTCTGGACTAAGTTGGCCAGTGTGGACTAAGTTGGCCAGTGTGGACTAAGTTGATTGGCCAGTGTGGACTAAGTTGACCAGTATGGACTAAGTTGGCCAGTATGGACTAAGTTGGCCAGTGTGGACTAAGTTGACCAGTATGGACTAAGTTGATTGGCCAGTGTGGACTAAGTTGACCAGTATGGACTAAGTTGGCCAGTATGGACTAAGTTGGCCAGTGTGGACTAAGTTGACCAGTATGGACTAAGTTGACCAGTATGGACTAAGATAACCAGTATGAACTAAAATGACCAGTATCGACCAAGATGGCCAAATAACTAAGTCCATTTTAAATGAGAGAACTCCATCCGAAATGATCGAAACCGAAAACAAAAGATCTGAATCTATCCGAATTCATAATAACGAACTGAATCGAATTTTGGATCCGAAATCCCCCCCAAAATTGAAATGATCTGAAATGAAACAAAACAATTTTTGGAGCCTTTTCATGCCTAGCTATCAGCATCTTGCAATGCATCATGGGACTTGTAGTTTCACCACATCTGGAGTACAGAGGTTGCCAACTCCTGATGTAGATGCTCATGAAGCTGCAAAATAGTTAAAACAGTTCCCTGCACCATAACTGTCTATTCTCCGGCTACGGAGCAGCGAATATGACAGATAATAATAAAAGAAAGTATAATTTGCATTTCCATTGCTTCGCACTTTCCATCAGTTAATTTGGAATGACCTTACACGTGTATCTGCACACACAGAGGATCTCCGTTCTGACATACTCTGAGCCGGGCCGGGGGGAAAACTCATTACAGACTGTCTAGATGTCAGGCCGGTGAGGAGACGTTTCATTTAACTGATGTTTCAAAGGTTGGAACAACATAAAGCCATTGCAGCCTACCTTCAGATTATAGGTCAGTGGTTGTATTGTCATTAAGAATGGCTGATATTATTAAATGTAAATGTGATCGCCATCATCTAACACTATTTGGCTCATTTCCTGGGGCAAAATGGATGTTCACTATGCAAGGTCGGTATACCGAAGGCTTCTCCCTTCCCCCACCTTTTTAAAATGTTACATTTATTTTTGCATGCAAACCTTTGAGTGTGTCTAGGATATGGCCAGGTAATCTCATGTGTCCTTTTCCTCCTTCAGCTTCTTCCTTCCCTTAGCTTAGTGAATGAGGTGAAGCTCTGCTGACTTGCATCATCCACTCGTGTGCAAGCCCAAATTGGGTATCCTTTGCAAAGTGAGCTAAAGGGAAAATTAACTTGCAAAGTCAACAGCCTATTTGACTTTATCAACCCCTATATGACCAGAAATGTGTGGGGACCTGGTCCTCATGCCTATACAAGCTTGTTGGACACCCCAATACAAAACCATGGGCATTAATGTACAGTTGGTCCCCCCTTTGTGGCAACAATATTCACTTTTCTGGGAAGGGTTTCCTTAAAATTTTGGAGTGTGTCTGGGGGAATGTGTTCCCGTTCAGCCAAAGAAGCCGACCTTTACATCAGAGCCCACCTCTTTCACATCAGAGTCCCTTCTCTCACTAGGAGACCCTATTCAAATAAGAAGCCCACCTTTACATCAGAGTCCCCCTGTTTCACATCAGAGTCCCCTTCTTTCACATCAGAGGCATGACACTGCATGAAAATTTTTAGGCTCCCCTAAGGAAACCAGAAGGCACCCCAGGACGCCACGGAAACCTGGTTGAGAAAGGCTGCTCTATGCTTGGAGCAAGCTGCTGGAGCTAGGACCCTCTGCCATGCACAACCAGATGAAGAAAGCGGTGTGTTCTTTATCAGCTCCTAACAATAAAGAAAAGGCTCGAAAATGAAAAACTATTCTTAAGACCAAAAGTATCCCTTGCTACCATTGAGTTATTTATGGCTTTCAACCCTCATGAGCAATTCTTTTTATTCTCTTTCTTCTTATTTAATATAAAACATTTGTTTTAAACGAAATTACTTCAGTCTGAATTAATCCAGATATAATGTTGTTAATAGATATCATTAAACATAAAACATTCAGTTAAACATTTTAGAAACCACAAAAAAAATAAATCCATTTGTTCCTTTGAACACATACAAGAAGGGAAAGGCTCACTTTGTAGATTAAACCGGCCTAGACAACTCTATTTGTTTTTCTGTCTGTAGACGTTTCATTGACTTTTGCTTTGAAATGTCTAAATATAAGAGGAATTATTTACAAAAAGACTAGACTGACAAGTGAGAAATAGACTGAAGGACAGAAGGAGCACCCACAGAAGTTATGTTCTACTTCTGACTCGGGGGAGGAAGGGTTAGAAACACTGTCTGGTTTTGATTTATTGGAAGGAATATTGTTACCATCCAGGGATAATTTAATTGTGTTAAATCCAGTGCATAAAACACCCCCTTCACCATCCAAGGATTACCCATCACCTTAACACATATATGGAGAAGACCAATGCCTTCAATGTGAGCTTAAAGGAGAACTATGGGGTAAGTGTTTTCCCCATAGTTCTCCTAAGGGTCACAGTAGGACATATACTAACCTCCTCCCGTGACCCAAAGCTCAGTAGCTTGCGATATACTGAGACCGCCCCAGCCGGGACGGATCCCGACATTACTGACGAGATCCACCCAGCTGCATGAGTGACAGCTGGCTCTGCCTATCTAGAGGCAGAGCCAGCTGTACCAGCCCCCTCCCCCGACCGTTCCGCCAGTCAGCGCTGGAGGATCGGAGTGGGGGGGAATCCCTGCAGGGAGCCGTGAATGAAAGTCACGGCTCTCTACAGAGTGATGATCGGAAAGTGAGCAAGCAACGGTATGTGTTCCCTCACTTCCCGATCTATTGAGCCGACGTGTGACAGTTTCATTGTCACACGTCGGCTCGATCTGTAAGGATGAGTGAAAATCACTCACCTCATAGTTCTCCTTTAAGAATAAAATATACTCAAGAAAGCTTAAACAGTCACCTTTACTTCCAATTACTGGATATAAAATCTACCTTGTATCAATTTGCAAGAATGAATATTGCTTAAAAAGTACAAGGCAGCACCAAAACATCACCACCACATATATCAAAACGTCTGGACAGGCCTGTCAGGATATCCCTTTAAACAAATCAATGAAATCATACACACAGCCTCTCCAAAAAAAGAATTAAACACTCTCTAATATTTCATTGGACCTCTGTAACGTCTCTGCAGCGCAAGCCTTGGATCACAACTGCGGAGAGGGTACTTGCGGTTTGATCAGTTGATGGTCTCAATTACTCACTTTAGTATCGTAGAGAAATATAGAAGACCTTTCACATCATATAAACCGTACTGAAAGGTTGTGTATGTCAACTGAAGGAAATAGGTGGGAGAGGGTTAACTTCTGCAGGGTTAGACTGTGGTGAGACCCGGTACTGCACAGGGAATCCCAGTAGACGTATACTAAGAGAGACAAGTGACTTCCTTATAATGACAGTCAGCTGGACTTGACTACAAGCAAGTTATACTGTTATTCCCCTGGTCACACAATACAGATTTAACAGTCCCGGCTTAAGTACGGATAGTACGGATACTTGCGGTTGGAAGAACACTCCTGGTATCTCCTATGGCTGATGATGGTGAGCATCAGTAGTCCTCTCTCTAGCCGTCCTGGTTGGCAAACTCAGACTTCCCCCTTGATGTGCCTTGGAGCTACCCCCTGAGTGGGGTTTGCGAGGTGCTGGTCCCTGGTTGCTGCGGTCTGCGGTTGCAGAGTGTGAATCTTCGGCGTTCACTGTTGCAAACAGTCGGACGCTGAAGATTCGTTTGGCCCCGTCTTAAGGAGCCTCGTGCGCCTGCGCTAATAGGAGGAGGAGCCGAGGGTCTACGTGCGCCGCGAGGAGACGCTACAGCCCGTTGTGCGCATGCGCGGTCCCGAGTCATGATCCCGGGACGTAACGAGGTAGGCTTCTTACAACCTCATTTAGCTTTAATTACGGCAAGGATTCTTCATGGCATCATTTTGATACATTTATGTAATATCACAACAATTTTTTGCATTCTTTTTTTGCCAAGATCTTGTAGTGATGATGGGAGAGTCGGACCTCTGTGTAGTCTTCTCCAGCACAACCCAAAGATTCTCAATGGGGTTAAGGTCTGGACTCTGTGGTGGCCAATCAATATGTGAAAATGATGTCTCATGCTCCCTGAACCACTCTTTCACAATTTGAGCCCGATGAATCCTGGCAGGGTCATCTTGGAATATGCCCAGCCCATGGCATCAGGGTAAAATCAATCCATTGATGGAAATACCTGTTCATTCAGTATATTCAGGTATGAAGTCATTTTTAGTGCACATAATGTTGATGAACCAAGACCTAATAGAAAGCTCTGACCTATTTGCTTAGCGAAATCCAAGTGGTGACTTTTTTGGACAGGCAGTGTATATGAAAAAAAGAGTCCACAGATCACTACTATACCATGTATGTAAAGCTGACCACTTGACTCCCCCATCTTTCCTAAACAGCATGCATGCGGAAATCTCTACTGCTGACTATTGTAAAGCTGCAGTGTTTGGCCAACACTTTTCACCCTTTCTCCTTCAATTTTTCTGTGTCAAGCTAAGTGAGGCTGAAGATCCACGGCTTGAATTTTGGCCACTTCATAGGATACAGCTGAAATTTGAGCCGTGTATGGCTAGCTTAATTTCCGCAGAGTTCAAAGTAGCAAAGCCTAGTATGCATAAGCCCGGGTCCAACCTGAGCTCCTCAACACCTTAGAAGCTCCTTCTGTGTTACCTAATCAGCTGTGGACAGGTAATTCCTCACCTACAGATTGATGTTAGCAAAGGACAGTGACTTAATTTTGTTGTAAAGTAGAC